AATTAATGAGCTGTAAATTTCATAGACTGCATAAAAAAAGTAACGCGCCTATTTCAAAACAAGAATATGTGATGTTACGTTGTAACTACGCTACTAGCCTCAGGATTACATGTCCTTTTGTGGTTTACGTGCACACAATGATATTTGATTTTGATGAATGTCACTGAAACTCAAGGCATGGCAGTGCATGTTGTTTATTTGGCGTCGCAGTGTGAATGCGTGCGTGCCACCACCGCACACGCAGCCAGCAAAAATAACACAAACCAGGGAGCGCACGAATAAAGGAGGGGGGAAAACTCCCAATACACAGAGAGAGACATCGCTGGGGGAATAGAGAGAGAGGCCAAAGCTCGGTCGCACTGCTGCCTTTGCTCACATTCGAGCCGAACCATGGCCACAACGGGAGGGGGCTCCCGGTGCCTTGGGCATCCCCTTGGTGGAAATGCCTCCTCCACCACCCATGCGAAATAACAAAGATCCCAGGTAAACAGCTTCACTGCCACTTAGGTAGCCGCACAGGTGTGTGTGGTCCTCTACTGCAGAGTATGCCATTTTACACAGTAGTCCCGACATACGACGACTGGCCTGGCACGCGATATGATCGGGTGTTTTTTTGCCATGTGCATAATGTGCTTCTTGTCAAGGCACGTTTGCAGGAAAATGCCATGCACTTCGTAGTGGCTGTACATTGCCAAAGGCGCAACGCGCATGCATAAAGGCACAACCACTATGGCAAACGAGCTTTCATAATTTTATTTAATAAAAAAGTGGATATTTAGTTACAGACCTGTTGGGCCACCAGTCATTAATTAAAAAGAATACCGAGTATTTATCAAATGACTCACAATGAAAACGTATTCAGTAAACACGGACTAGTTTTTATTTATCAGCACCGCATTAAAATTCTTTTTTATTATTTTAAACTATAAAAAAACAAGAGATTGTGAATATACCTATTGTACATATTCTTCGTGTTTAATTTTGGTACAGGTAAAACCCATTGGGCTATACATGCTAATTTTTGATGGGGACTTGGTTATACAATAGAAAACTAGTGACAACAGAAACACACGAACAAAACTATCCAAAAACAACTGTACAAATCAGAATCTTGATTTATACTAGAGGAATCATATGAGCTATAAAGCTATTTTTTACAGATGTCCAGTAGATCCTGCCTCTTTTTTCCCAGATGTACAAATGGTCAAGTTCAGAAATGGAACAACCAGCACATAGAATATCAAGGCTATTAGAGCTCATACTCTTTAGTTTTTTCGGTAAAGTCACATAGGTAAAAAATGAAATTAAAATAAATAAAAGTAATATTTTATTATTTTTATTAATTTATTTCTGTTATTACTTTTATTAATTTAAATTTCATTTTTTACCTACGTAAATTTACCGAAAAAACTAAGAGTATGAATCCTTGCAGTCACGAAAGCTTCAAATCTAGAACTATTAGAGCTCGCTTCATTATAACTTGGGCACACTGCCCACCAGAGCATGATCCTCCACTTCATCTTTTGACTTAATGTTCACATTTCAGAGACCTGTTCTCCACCTGAAGACGGCTGCTTGCGTTGTGGCCGAAACGTCGTGAGAATTATTTTATTATGTTTTATTTTTATTATTTTATTATTTTCCTACTACAAGTGAATGAATGGTAAAATACATACAGGACCTCTATATTGGGGAAGAAGTGCTAATAAAGGTGAGCTCGTATATAAATGTAATCTCATAAAAAAAAATATTAACCAATATCAACAGAGTGCATATATGCAGTAGTGTATGTCAGCAGAGGCCACACATTACGTTTTTTTATCCTGAAACGAGCGCTGTTATTTGTGAAATTGAATCAAATTATGGCATGAAAGTAGGACGCACGTGCGGCACAAAGAAGACGCATTGGACCCGTAAAGAAATGTAACAGATGCACAGACGTGTGCACTGAACACAGGCTGACAAAATCAAATTAATTTCCCCCAGCTGAGACAGTGCAGGCAGGCGGCATTGGGGGGAGCGCGTGGCGATGCATGTAGCTCCCCAGTAAGTAGCGGGTGGGCAGAGGTGGTGGGCTGCGCCTATAGGCACTGCCTGGCATGCAATTCACGTTTTCGTTACCCACTGAAAGCCACTTATTAAACCTCAGAATATCGCAGCCAACCGACACGGCAACACCATAAATCCTGACTGCAACACCACAAGCCACATTCGCAAGATCTGAATTGGTCAATCCATTTAACTGGAAAACCACGACTGTGTGCCGCTGCTATTTTCGATTGGAAAAGTGTGGGGCAGCGTTGTGTGCAGGGCATTGCTTGCAAGAAACAGCAATCCAGTGCCTCGCTGGTACATTTTCAGCCCTTCGGCGATCTACTGCTGGATAAAGGCCATCCCACACTTTGTCAGTTAAAATGGGTTGTTTTTATTATCTAACTTATTATGCATGTAATTTAGTAATTAAATAGCCCGAATGTTTGTAATCCCTATTCGACAATTTTTTAAAAAAATTTGATGGTTAATTTCCAGGGCTGGGGTTGCCTGGCAATGTTAAGAAAAAATATTCGAGTAAGAAAATAATTGCTTGCAGCCCTTTGTTACTCTACTGTTGGATGAAGGCCTCGCCACACTTGTCAGTCAAATGTGTTGCATGGCCATACTTCACCACACTAGTTAGTGCAGGTTGGTGAAGGGCGGAGACCAGGATTGGTTCAGATATCACGCTCGTCACTGATGTTAGCCGTGCACAAAATTTGAAGTCAGGTCACGGAGTTCTTAAGGCAGTGAACGAAGTACTCCATCTTGTATTCTAAAAAAATATATATAAATTATATCCATTCTCAATCAACCAACGGATTGAAGGCCACCCCAACACCACATCAGTCACGATGTTTTTTTTCAACTCTACTTCACCACACTTGTCGATGCATGTTGGTAAAGGTGGGGGGCGGAGAGGGAATGATCAGTTCTGATATCACTTGCCAGGTACGGATGGTATCACTGGCCGAGAATCTAAATTGAGTCGACAGGTTCAGAGCACAGCACGCCCATCCCAACGCAGCCGCTCTACCCCCCCCCCCATTCCCGTATTAATGCCCAGCAATTAAACAAGAACAAATACAGTGGTGTCAGCATTGCCTCTCCCCACTCAATACTATCTCCTATCTCAAGACGATGTTCAATATGTCCAAGCCATGGTAATATGGGCACAATTAAAATGCTACTTTAATTGAATCGATGGATATTTGGGTGACGTTACTGCATAGAGCCCTTTCCTTCACGTTTGTTGCATGCTGAAACGTAAAATGCAATTGATTTACCTGCAATGGGTAGGTGTAGGTATGAATTCTCTTTAGTGTTAGCTTATTTTACCAATCATTTGCATGGTATGTTATAAAAAATATACACATTTGCTCGACATCACTTTTCTTACCACTGTATTCTGCCTTTATAGACACTGACCAACAAACAACGAATTGCACAATGCTTCACTGTAAACAGGCAGATTCAAGTGATTGGATTTGTTTTAGCACACTGAAGAAATCTAAGCGAAGATTATCTGAACCTGTGTAAGTCCCCACACGATCCCAAACAGAACTCAACTGGTGACAACCACACAGAAAACTGAACCCACAATCTAAAGAGGCACCGTGAACACTACGACGGAACTGACCTTTGGCAATAAACTCGTGCAAACACTTGGTGCGGATAGGTACACAGGGAATGGTATGCTCTTAGCCATAACAGGTAATACTACTACTACTACATTCTGCAACAAACCACAACACAGGTACTATACTGTGGCCCGATGTATTTTTGGTAGCAGCCCTGTGACGAAAACGGTGGTCAAAGCCTGCCATACCCCCGACCCGCCCGTCTCTACCAGGGCTGACTAAATGACTATTTGTTTAGGACCCGATTGTTTGGGCACCAAGGTAGTGCTATCGTCCATCATCATAGTAAAGCGTGCTGTGGAATCCTCCAACTCTCAAAGCTGGCTGTAAATCACCTGCTGACAACGAACGCACACGCACACAAAATGCTCCCAAACATCAAGATGAATGATCGAAGGAAGGTGACCAGTATCGCCCTGGTCATGTTTTCCTTTTGCGAATCCTACATTTTAAAAATAATCACAAGGAATGCCCTGCTAAAATGTCTGTAAATCATTTTAAGTGCAGGCAGCACAAAAGCTATGTGCAGTATTACCGTGCTGATGTTCTATGCAATGCTGCAGTTTATCTCGGCAGTAATAGTTTTGCCTGGCACATTAACAACACATGTCGGTATATAGTGAGTATGGCTTTTTTTGCGCTTCATTTATGCGACGCAATATATCACGCGTATTGTTCGCGCCATGGAGAAAATATTATCTCGATCAATTGCACATTATCACTTTGAAATAGGTGAGATTTTGCAGGTAAGATGGGTTACAAAAACACAGAACTTCTCCCAAGCACAATGTTATGTAAACACAACCACAGCAACATTTGCTTATAACCATAAATATTTAAAATGTGTTAGTGGTATGACGACATGGCCTCCTCAATCTTTAGGTAAGCAATAAAGCTTAGACTTCAGTTCAGCATTGCCTTGCAATCATAAAACAAACACAAGCTATGGATTGAATGCATCAGGGCTGATGATTGCAGGGTTAGCAGACTGACTTATAACAATAATTAAGTAATGAAAAAGTATTGTGCATTTGTGATATTTTTGTTGTTGTAGGAAAACCCTGTAAGTTTATTTATACTTTGGTACTTATTTGAAATTATATATTGTGTTTAAAAGGTTAAACTAAAGCAATTTCTTTGAATGAAATCCTTTGATATTTTTGCCCCCCTATTGTAGTGTTCATTGGATGCTGTGCTTCCATCAAATACCCATTACAAACGTAAACAAAACCAATCGACTTCAAAATACTTTATCAACCGAGGAGGCAGGGTGGGAGAGGGGGATTTCAAAATTCAGTGTGGACAGTCGTGGCACTTCCTACTCACCTGCACGTCACCATCTCTGGTTGCTTTTTCTCCTAACAGATGTTCTGCCTCCAAGTTCTCAACACCGCACGTCTCCTTCCAAGGGCGTTCCACTGCTCCGTTCATGCCGTAGATGTCTACGAGCTCTGCGCTGTTGCTGGAACGGAGAGGTGACCAAATTGGAGGTGCCTGCTTTTCTGCTTGCAGAGATTTCTCGGCCAACCTCGTTCCACTATTTATCAAAATGGAAGGTTTCACAGACACGACTTGGCTTTCCTTAGGTTGCTTCGAGTCAGAAGATGTTAAACAATGCCCTTCAGTGTTGACTTTACTGTCAGCAAGAGTACCACTCTTTTCAGAAACCAAAGCTTGGGAACCACCAAAAGGAGGTTTCGAGTCCAAATCCGTCTCGTCATCAGATGGGCTGAAACTTTCAATCGGTTCAGCAAATCGGACCGTCGGGCGGTGATGTGGTTTTGTTTTTTCCACTTCAGGCTTGTCGGTCAATACAGTCCCTTGACCCGTACAGAGAGAGCTTGGTTTAATTGCAGGTATCTGGCTGCCGGGTGATGGTTTGTCTGACAGTGTCTTAACACTGTGCAGATCATCCACCTCAGGAGATTCTTTGGAAAATGGCCTCTGGGTTGAGTTTCTTCTCTCCATCCCAGACTGATGTCCCAGACCACCGACAGAAAGGATAGGCTTCACTTCTGAGAGCTGGCTGCTGTAGAGCATTCTTCCTGGCCCAGGTTGACCCCCAGCTGGAAGCGGAGGTTTTGTTGAGAAAACTTGGCTCGTGTAAGCTGGTCGAATGCTTGGCTGTGGAAGAGACCTCCTCTCCATGCTCAAAGTTGGCAAGGAGCTGCTGGGAATGGTTGGCTTTGGAAGCCCAGAAGTGGGTCTGGACTTGGGTCCAGCCAAAATTGCCGGCATGGTGAGGCTGTCTATGGCCTTTACTTGAATATCCAGAGTGTTTAATGTTACCCAGATACTGCCTTCGTAAAAAGAAAAAGACGAAATAACCTAATAAATATTTCTCACAATAATCGATTTTCGCCGAGACTTTCCAATGCAAAAGTTTTTAGTGATCTTAACAGCAACACTTTCAAGACATTTTGGTTAACAGATGACCATTATTTAACGGACCCAGTTGCAAATGCGCAAATCTATTTTCCCTGCCGCGCAAGCTTTCGCCTCCAATCGATTCCAGTGCGCAGAGAACATCTCAGAGTCACAGCCAATAACTTTTTTTTAACGGGATGAAATCCGCACTAAACACCCTGCGGCAATCCTCGGCTGGTAAGCCGCGGATTATTTGGGCTGCTGTGCGCGTCTCGTGGCCGTACCCGCAGTGGCAGCAACGCTGACTGCCAAGCGCTCCGCCCGACGGGCTGAATATAACAAACGCACGCGCGTCACCGCGGCTCAAATCACAACTGATGTCAGCGCTCTGATTCACGGTCACGCAGGTTTCTTCTCTCGCTCGCTCGCTCGCCAGCCTCTCTCTCTTCTCTCTCTCTCCTCCCCACAGTGGAACAACCCACCCGCAAAGCAGCCCAGCCCATCGGCTCACCCCGCTAACCCCCCCCCCCCAACACATCCAGCACACCCAACATTTCCTCCCATCCAAACCCATAAGCTCCTACTCCCCCCCCCCACACACACACCTCCCCCCACCTTTCGCCTGTAATTCTAAACATATTTCCGATGCGACTGTGCCACTTACAGTAAATGACATTTTGGTGTGGTTTTGAAACAAGACAACCAGCAGCAGCAGCTGCTGCTGCTGCTGTGATCTCTCCCCTCCCCACCCCGGAAATATTTAAGCTGCAAAAACAGCAGCGACGTGAAAAGCGCACCTGACTAATGCACAAATATTCCTGTTACGTTTGCGGAGCTGCTCGCCACCCTTTTTTTTACTTTTCTCCCTCGGGAACAAAGCGGAGGGCGGACGTGAGTCTCAGAACGCGCGGTGATTCACCGAGACGCTCAGAGGAATTGCAGTGGCAACACAAAATCTCCCACCCCCCCGCGCGATGAAGTTTATAAACACAAAAAAAGCCACCCCAGCCTGTCACGCGCAGTGTATTAGTCATTTCCATCCCAACAATTATTTTGAAACGCGCCTCGTTGTACGAAGTCAAGGTAGGGGTAAAGCTTTCGACGGATACAAAACTGCCACAAAATTAACGACGTTCTCTCGCATACTGCACCGCTTACAGTAGGCGGCAAAGCCATCCTTTTTTGTGCCAAGTATCTGGCTGCATCGAGTCGAGTTGCTGGCAACGCGCAGGGGCAAAAAATCTCATTGGCCTAAATGGCACGCAGCTTGTGCCAACCACTTCAACACAATGGGCCCGATCGACAACGCGGCTCCGACATCAGTGACATCATTCTTCACATTCTTTTTCCACAAAACGGGACTCTTCCGAGCAAAGTTATGACTCATGCTGCAGCGGTAGCAGCAGCACGGATGTAAATAAATCTGACCGCTGACACACTCTAGCTACAACAGACAAATCCCATTAGGCCGGGGAGTTTATTAGATTATATTGTGATTTGTTACAGTGGCACCAGGGAGGGAGCGGCTATTTTATTTTTCCAAAAGCCAAACACAGGGACCTTTCAAACTTAATGAATCGTCAAGGATTTTTAGGCAATGCCACAGATAAAATACGGGAGAGGTTTATGCGTGCATGCCGAAGCCCCAATCGAATTTAGTTTTCTTCGAATCAGAAATACTGTACTTTTGGCTTCACACTACTGTTGTATATAAACATGCCAGGATAGCTTACGCGAACGCAATATGTTTGGCATTTACACACGAGGTGTAATGTTTTTCGTTAACGCACTTTAAAAGTATTTTTTTCTGTTCCAATGAGAGTCCATGTTCGAGTACTTAAATATCCAAAACATAAACGAAATACGCTGCTGTTTTACACACCGCATCAGGTGCTAAGTTAAGGCCAAGTTGACGTACAGGAGGCCCAGAACCGGTTCAGATAACACTGGTCAACAAAACAAAAACAAAAACTTCTGGCCTAGACTTTTGCAGCTGTTTTAGACTAATTTCAGGGTGCTGATTCCAAATCTGATCTCAGATTTGCTCTATCACATCTAATTTTTATACCATCGGCATACCACATTTTCATTGATTTTACCCGAAATAAACTCTGTCACTTATGATTGCAAGTTGTTGCGAGCCAGTGACTGCTTTAGTGTTAAAATATGGTGCTGTATTTTTAGGATAGTGTGTTTATAATAGAATTTTATGTAGATATCCACATTTATTTAACATTTTTCTTCTGCAGTTTTTATTGAAAATGCAATATTTGATATCTCAAAAACCTGATGTGCTAGACAAAAACTGATGCCAGATTTGGAATCAGCACCCCAAAATTACCTTAGAACCGTTGGAATACCTTATGCCAGAAAAAGTATGTTGACCAGTGTAATCACCACTGATGTTAGCCATAGCCAGGAATCGAACCCTCCTCGTCAGGTTCACGTGACCGACATTACGAACAACCGTTTACAGATTTGCACGCCCAAGCTGGGACCACTGCCAAATTCAGAAATGGCACGCTCTCGCGTATTCTCAATATAAATGCTGATTGTTTAATTCCCCACGCCGTAATGCAACTGTGCAGTAATAATTTTAAAAGGAGAAAAAACTATAATCCTATTTGCAGCAGTTTCCTCTCTCACGTCAAGGTTTCACGATGAAGTTCCCCAACCCATGCATGTTATCATCTTTTTGATGTCATACTGCTTTCAAGATACATAATATTTACACTCCAACACCTCGAATTGCTTAATCGTGGCACAATTAAACCATCTATCACATGCTTAGCACCGCACGTGATTTAAAGAGCTACGTAACCCCAACAACAGGAATCTTGATACTGAAGGTCCCTTCACAGGCTTAATGGACAGGTAATGGGGGGCATGCCTCTTTGGGTCATCTGGTGGACATAGGCGACACACGCACACGACCATAATTAGAGACCGCTATCGTGGCCAAAGCTCTGATAGCATGCTGCTAGCAGGCGGCAATGTGGTGTTATTTGTTTGAGTTTGTTGTCCTTCCCCCGTGCACCTCCGATTAGCACGGTTGGCTACATATGGTGCAAAATAAGTTAAACGTACATAGTAGATACATTTGGTCACAAGAATATCATGCAATAATGGAGTCTTAAATTTCAATTTAAAGCTTTCGTGACTGCAGGGATTCACCATCGTGGTTCTTTCGGTAAAGCCACGTAGAAGGGAAATAATAAAATAATAAAAATAAAACATAATAAAAGCATTCAGACGCTGTCTTCCCGACAGACCTGTTCTTCACCTGAGGACGGCTGCTTGCGTTGTGGCCGAAGCGTCGTGAGAATTCTTTTATTATGTTTATTTTTATTATTTTATTATTTCCCTTCTACGTGACTTTACCGAAAGAACCAAGAAGATATCTTAATGGAGTCTTCTTTTGTTGTGTACAGATAATTTTTTGACTATTATTGGGTGGCCCGCACAGCCCCTTCGTTGCAACAATAGCATGCCATCAAGAGCTCAGTGCGCCCGGAGAAAGTCCTATTGCTCGATAAACACACGCGTAAAGAAACGAGTATCTAAGGGGCCGTCCATAAATGACGTCATGCGATTTTGGACGATTTTTTTACCCCCCCTCTCGTCACACGGCGTCACAAAAAGTCAAACTCCCCCTTAAATATAACGTCACCTCCCCCCAAAACCATATTTACATTTTTAAATAAAACATGCTTCAAATCGCTTTAACCTATTGTCCTTGAAGTGCGTATTTAATGTGGCGCTGCACTCTGATGTTGTAGGAGAACACATTTATTAAAAAAAAGTCTATTTAATTAAGTAGAACGTGTTGTCTATATTTATTTAAAGTTGAGCATTTTGATGTGACGTCACATTTCTCAAACCCCCCCCGCCTCGTCACACATCGTCACAAATGTCTGACTCCCCCCCCCCCAGGTGCGTGACGTCATTTATGGACGGCCCCTAAACACATTCGTCAATAGCACTGCATTAAAAGGAAAAAAAACATGAGGAAAATATATTTAATCCGTTTCAAGGCAGTATTAATGAAGGATGTGCTGAGTTTTTTCATTTGGGTTAATTGTGCTTGTGCGCCACTGCCGATGCGATGCGACATCACGGAATAATTTGTTTAACTTGAACGAGATCGATGGATGCAAGAGTGACCACGAGATGTCGGTCTGAGATTGTTACTCACCAGATCCAAACCGGTCAAACAGATGCCTGCGAATTAGGCTTCACCAATGGCGATCTAATGCGATGATGACATGATTGATATTATGAACCAAATATGTGCATGGAAATCAAAAGTTGCAAAAAAAAGACTGTTTGTATATAAAAAAAAAATCTATATATTTGTGTATTCACAAGACTGTACAATGTATGTATGCTACAGAAATCAACATGATTGCGTCATACCTAGTATAGTACAGTCGGTCAGTAGGTCACGTGTAGTGGAATATGGTGTGGGTATGGTGTGGGTATGGTGGGGTATGGTGTGGGTATGGTGGGGTATGGTGGTGTATGGTGTGGGTATGGTGGAGTATGGTGGGGTATGGCGTGGGTATGGTGGAGTATGGTGTGGGTATGGTGGGTGTGGTATGGTTATGGTGGGGTATGGTGTGGTTATGGTGGGGTATGGTGTGGTTATGGTGGGGTATGGTGTGGGTATGGTGTGGTTATGGTGGGGTATGGTATGGTTATGGTGGGGTATGGTGTGGGTATGGTGGGTATGGTGTGGTATGGTGGGGTATGGTGTGGGTATGGTGTGGGTATGGTGTGGGTATGGTGGGGTATGGTGTGTGTATGGTGGGTATGGTGGGTATGGTGGGGGTATGGTGTGCGTATGGTGGGGGTATGGTGGGGGTATGGTGTGGGTATGGTGGGGTATGGTGTGTGTATGGTGGGTATGGTGGGTATGGTGTGCGTATGGTGTGGGTATGGTGTGGGTATGGTGGGTATGGTGTGGGTATGGTGTGAGTACTCCCACTTCTTGCGAGAAGTCTCGTCATCTCACCTCCCATAGAGAGAGAGAGAGAGAGCAGTCTTGAATGGAGATTTTTCCGCTAGCAGTGTTGTGCACGTGCAACTGCAGGGCTGCACCTTGCTGCATTTTGTAAATATACAAATCCATCCAGTTAAACTACCAATGGGCCTGCCTTTGAGCGATGGATTTCACGGCCAAAACAAGAAGGTTCAGGTGTGTAACCTGACCCTGTGCGCGCACGCATTTCATTACTCCCATACAATGGCACAGCACG